TGTTTTTTTTCATTTTATAGTGCATATATATAGATAAAAGTTCCCACAGTCACATTACAGAGGACACATAATGTTTTGGTAATGTACATGATAAATTTAAAATATTTATAATCGATTCAATGAATTCCAGTCCAGACAGAATTGTGATGTTATTTTGGTGAGAGAGTCCATATTACAAAAAATAAATAAAAAAAACTTAGATATGTGAGGGCAAGCAAGAATAGGCAGCAACGGATGAATATGATATGTAGCCAAAAAAAAAAATAATTTGGTTGTTTACACAATGTTGAATTTATGTTATTACCCCTCAAAGTTCCAAGATACATTTAAAGTATTAACAAGCATGCTGCACACAAGCTTGATGTTGCAGTTATCTGGTCCACTCAAAATAGGCATTTTCAAAATTATATAATAAATGATCTGTGGAGTATTTTGAGCTGAAACTTCATAGACACATTCTGGGGACACCAGAGACTTATATTACATATTGTAAAAAGGGGCATAATATGTCACCTTTAAATGACTTGGTCTGCTTTGCTCATACTATTTTAATTAATTTAAACAAAATTGGTAAAAAAAAATGTATATGCAACAGCTGTTTAAGATCACAAGCTCAGTTTTTTTGGTGATAATCTTAATGTAATTTCACAGTAAAATGTAACAAAGTAACATAATATTGTCTTTCTTTCCTGTAGGACACCCAGTGAAAATAACAATATCAGGATCTCTCTGGACTGACATGTAAAATATGCACACCATATTTTTAGCTACAGGCCTCGTTGAGCAGTATTTAATACAGGCACAATATGAACTGAGAGCGAACTAAGGCTGTATGTACAAAGTACGCACAAACATGTTCACAACTGACAAGTTAGTGTCCCAGTTTACAAAATCTTACCCAAATTAAATAATAATAATAAAAATAACACTGTAAACATTAACATCACATTCATCAAATGCTGCACATTGACTCGCTTTTGGAACATGGTAAAGACAGTCAACTGCAAATAATGGACAAACACGATACAGGAAGCTATGGGCTCCATTATCAAACACTGCAAACTAAGTGTTGTGAAACCTTGTTGAGTGTGAAACGTTTTTGTTGTTGCTGAGTTGATACTTCCAGATATCAAATTTACCATGATATTATAAATGACTCAAGAACTATGGTAATTAGCTTTTGACATTCTGACATCAACTTTTCAGCTTCATTACAGTTCAAGAACATAATAATTGCAAACTGCCTTTTACTTTGACCATGTAATTTTCCACCCCATCAACATCTAAATCTTTATCATTATGAGAAAAAATGTTTGAACTGGTCTCAGATCTGTGAAAACTGCAAATGGCTCCCGTTTAGTGTGGACATATGAAACTAAATTGTTCATACATGAGTGCAGTGTGATAAAGGAAGGGTGTAAACATTACGATCCTCAAAAGATCTATAAAATGGAGACACTTTAAATTATAAAAGGTGATAAATCACTCAAGGCATTGTTTGTGAAAATTGGCAATCACCTCCATGCAATGGCATCTGTTCCTAAAGCTTGCTTTGTGTTTTTTCTTTTTGGTAAAACGGATTGCCCTGCACTGTTAATATTTGCCCCAGTCAACGTTGCAAGGTCCGGAAAAAAAAAAAAAAAAACATGTTCAAGAAAAAAAAAATTTAATTGCTTGAACACAGGAAAAAGGGGAATCCTTCATGTTCTTAATTTCCAAAACCCCAATCAACATACTGCACACCAGAAAAAAAAAATATATAAAAGAATAAAAAGGAAAGAGCAAAAAACTCCAGCTGATGCTTTGAGGAGTATAAAACATGGTGAGCCTCCAGTCATCCCAAAATAGACCATATGATACAGCAGTTTTTCCAGTGATATGTCAGTTATGGCAGCAGTTGTCAAAATAAGAGTCCTTCTTTTGCCCAAGATCCACTCCCTTTTCTTCTGTAAGGATACAATAACATAAAAAATAAAAACAATATCACATTATTTTATCAATTCTATTTCTACTATTGTTTACATTCCTAAAAATATAATGAAACTGTTATTAAATGCATACAGAATTCAATGTCTTTAATATTTCTTTCCACCTTATTTTGCAATGCAGAAGTAAGATATTGTCTTTAAATGTGCGAGACTTCTGATACATTAGCAGCTATACGGAAATAACTAGAAGAATAAGAAAGTGCTGTAAACAGTAAAACTATTTGTGCTATAAACCAGTGTGTTTATCATTAAAATAATATATTAAAACAACACGATATCAAACACCAGTTTACAATATAAATCAGCATAACAGTACAATAACAGAAAGCGGATGACACCAGAAACCTTGCACATTCAAGTTACAAATTGCTGCACCTGCCCTTACTTTAAAAATAAGGCGGATGAAAAGGTTTGGAGATTAATAAATACCGTTTAACAGTATTGATCAAAGCAAAAGAGCAGCTAATGTTTTTCTATCAATACTGTAGAAAATACACAAGAACATAAGTATACATCTG